TAACTACACCAGAATGTTAATGATGTATGAGTATCTTCAATTTTGGTTCCTTTATCAGGCCCACCTTGCTGCATATAGCAGTGATCTACTGGGGGAAGGTAATTCCTCTTGGTGGTAAAATAGTTGACTCTGAGTAGAAGTGCTGAGAAGCAAGCTTTCTGAACATGTGTGAGACCTGGTAAACTCTGGATTGAATTCCCATGGGGTTACAGACAAACAACGTCAGACCTGGAGTCCTGTCCTGAAGCAGATAGTTTGACTTGTCATCATCAAGTTCTGGGGCCACTTTGTGGAGGCTAATGAGAACCCACTGCTGAGCATAAGAGATTCTGCAAACCCAACTCATGGTAGTAATGTTCAGTTACCACAGTAGTGATTTTAAAAGTCTGGGTGGTCTGAGTGGGAATGGCCCCTGTCTGGTTTCCAGTTATTGGAACTGTTTCAGAAGGACAGGGGGGGGGTGTGTGGCCTTGCTATAGAAGGTATATCACTGGAGATGGGCTTTGAGGCATCAAAAGTTCATGCTGGGCCTCACCATGCACTCACTCTGCCTTCAACTTTTGGATCAGCCACTGCTCCAGCGCCATGCCTGCCTGCCTGCCTGCCTGACTCTGTGTTCCCTGTCATGAACTAACCCAATGAAACAGTAAGCAAGCTCCAGTTAAATGCTTTGTCCTGTAAACTGCCTTGGCCATGGCTTCTCTTCACAGCAATAGTAAACCCAAAAGGCAGGCAGTGTTAATTGGGGTATTTCTCCTGACAGTCTATCTGCTCATGGTTCACACCTACAGAGCACACACCAGAATTGAGATAATATTTGACCACTTAATAAACAAACAAACAAACAATACATAAATAAATAAGGCTGCAAGCCAATCAGCAAGTTCAGAAAGAAATTAGATCAGGAGTCTAAGATTCTTTATCCTAGAGAAAAAGTCCCCAAGCTTGTCATTTCAGTCATTCCAAGAGGGAGGTGGGTAAAAGGACTCTGTCCCTTCTCTTGGCATTGGGCACAGGAGGGTAATGTGACTTTCGCTGACCCTAGAAATATATTGTTGTCCGTTAGGAGCAAGGAAAGATGAGGGGGTACAAAAACCCATTATGAATAACAGCATGAAAGCAGAGGAATGTTTTTCTCAAATATTTAAATATAGGTCACAGAGCCTGCAGCGCTATTCAGTGAAATGTTAATTCCACTCAATTCAACTTGACAAACGTTTACAAACAATAAGGATTTGTTGAATTGAATTGAAATGTTAACATTTATCCTCCTGTGATACTGCGTCTGAAAGAATTAGAACGTATCTTTAGACTATAAACTCCAATCCACCCTGAGATGAATATTAACTTCAGAATAAATACTGTCATCAAATATTTATATCTTGCCTTATTTCAAGACACCTGTCATTGAGTCACTGGGAGGCTTTGGCAAAATAACACCGCATCCTGCCACATTTAAATAGTACAAGAAAATAAGAACCAGGGGCACAGCTTCCTGACTTTTATTTTGACTCAATGGGCAGGTATGAATATTTATTATAGATAGTCTCCTGTTCTCATTTCTGGGTCATTGTCTCTGTTCTTCTAGCAGAGACACTGGCCCCTTCTCTAGTTAGAGCACGTCCCTCCCAAGGCTCAACAGATTTTTCTAAAGTGTTTGTTTATCTATCTATTTATTTAATTCTGTGTGTATATGTGTGTGTGCCTGAGAGAATGTATGTGCACCATGTGTGCTCGGGAACTCACAGAGGTCACAAGAGGGTATCAGAGGCGCTGGAACTGGAATTACAGACAGTCATGACCTACTGTGTAGGTGCTGGGAGCATAACTAAGGTCCTCTGAAAAGGTAGTCAACATTCTTAGTCACCAGGAATTTCTCCAGCCCGCTCAGTATTTATAAGACTAGATGGCTGACACTCTATTTGAGTCAAGGACCTATGTCTCAGTATGACCACACCACGGTACATGTTGGCCTGGCAACAGCAGCTGATTGTCATTTCCCTCACTCAGGAATAATTAAACTGAGCTGGGCGGTGCTGGTGCACGCCAGCACTCGGGAGGCAGGGGCAGGCGGATCTCTGTGAGTTCGAGGCCAGCCTGGTCTACAGAGCGAGTGCCAGAATAGGCTCCAAAGCTACACACAGAACTCTGTCTCAAAAAACCAAAACAAACAAACATAAAACCAAAGAATAATTAAACTATCTTTGGGATTGTTGCATTGAGCTTGGTTTTGAACCTGCTAAAATACAGATCTCCTCCTGGTAGCCACTATGGGAACAAACACAACATGCAGAAAGCATAATTGAATGGCAGAGAGAAACAGGCTGTGAGCTTTGAGTCAAGCTGTGCCAGAAGTCATCATTCAGCTTTGTAAGTGACGTGGGTAATGTTACTTTCTTCATTTATCACAGTATGGGATTTCTGTTATTCACACCTGTCGACTTCAGTTCCCAGGGGGGAAAAGCCAGACCTAAAGTAAAGGTTCTAGAAGGTTAAATGACCCACAGAACTTAGTGAAAATGGAGGATTCAAACAAAGCACATCTGCAATCAAATTATCTTGGGCTAGTTTTTTAAAAACTGTGTGTGTGCATGCATGTGCCTGCATGCATGAATGCACACACATGTATGTGCACATGTGTATTCATGTTTGAGTGTGGCCACTTGCATGTCAAGGTCAGAGGATGGCCTTGGGTGCTGGCTCACACCTTCCATATTGTTTGAGGTAGGGTTCTCTACATCATAGGACCCTCCTGTCTCTGCCTCCCATTGCTCCCGAGGAGAACTGGAATTATAGGTATGTGCTCAACAGCCACATTTGGCTTTCCTTAAGTTTGGGGGGCTATACCCCTGAGTTGTCTTGCTTGCACCAGACGTGCTTACCCACTGAGCTATTATCTCCCCAGCTGTCTTGGGCTATCTCTCATTGTAACAGTTATTAATTGCTTGTGGGGTCCAGACGGTATGCGCTTCCTTTCTGAGCAGAGAAGTGACTCTATGACTGCAGAAATCTGTGAGCATGCGTTAACCTCTACTGAGGAATGTCCTCACTAGCAAGCAAGGCCAAAGGGCAGGAAAGTGTGGAAGAAGGAATTCAGATAAAGCGGTTCAAGAGACAAGTCAGGACAAAGTCTTCTTGAAGAGCTGTCTTTAGTAGTTAGCTAAACTATGCATAAATAGCAATAAAAATTGTTCATTCCTGAAATGAACCCAGAGTCCTGTGTCTCTGTTTACCATTGCCCCTTTTCCAGGTACTCATATTGCCCACTGCTATTCCGGCCACGACAATTGTTCACCTCTGGCCTAACACCACTTTGGCTATTAGATAGAATCTTTAAAACGTATTTTAACATGTTGTTACTTTTTACCAATCCAAAAGTTAAAATCTCATCACATGGCCTCTAAAACCTAGAAGGCGGTTTTCACTGTGCTGATATAATCTGCTTACCTGTGATCCCCACTATTGTTCTTGGTGAATATCTTGACAGATGGCTTTCTTTTAGATTGCACTTGTTCTGTAGCTAAAGATCTCACTGACTACTTCCATGGTGGAGTAAGTCTTAGGCGGCAAACTAACTCTGTGCTCCAGAGTGATGGTCACCAATTTTTGGCTCCAACTGAACTGTTTCTGATTCTTGTTGTGTTAAGAAATGTGTCTTGCATTGAACACAACCATAGTAATATACTATACTACTTACAGGCACTAATTCTTTTTTAATCTTTTATTATTTATGTGCATGGGTGTTTTGCTTCCATGTGTGTCTGTTTATCACATGTGTGCCTGGTTCCTTCATAGCCCAGAAGGAGGTGTCAGATCCCCTGGAACTGGAGTTGCTGACTTTGTGAGCCACCATGTGGGGTTGCTGGGAACAGACCTGGGTTCTTCAGAACAGCCAGTGCTCTTAACCACTGAGCCACTTCTCCAGCCCCCTGAGCCACCTTTCTAACCCCCAAAATACTTCTTAAAGAATAATCGCCCAGATTAATGACTCCCGTTTTCTCCAAGTCTACCTGCCCTGGTAGAGGGTACTTCCTGCCCCTTGAGGTTGAACGCTGGCCTCTGTGGGTATTGCACACATGTGGTGCACATGCACACATGTAGGCAAACACTCATACACATAGAATGAAAATAAATAAAATCTTTAAAAAACTATCTGAAATAACTTCCATTATTGTTATTTTGCTGGAGTAGAACTGAGGTAGAGGGGTTCACACACTTTTCCAAGCTATGCAGCAGGTAAATGGGAACATACATTTTGAATTGATTTGTCCCACCTGACATGGTGGTCCAAGCCCTTAATCCCAGCACTAGGGAGGCCATGGCAGGTAGATCTCTAAATTCAAGGCCAACCTGGTCTACATACTGAGTTCCAGGACAGCCAGGCCTGTTACACAGAGAAACCCTGTCTCGAATAAAAACAAAATGAAAATTGGACTGGTTTGCCCTTCTCCTGTGCTTAGTGGTAGACCAGATTTGAGAGCACAGCTGGAGGAGGACGGAACCATGGTTCTCTGCACGCTCAGCACCATCAGGTTCCCGTGGCTGATAAAACACAGGATGAGGAAGTTTTGATTTCTTTGAGAAAAAAAAATCCAGATTCGGAAAGGCTAATTTTGAAAGTATATAATTAGTTTATCCATTTTTGAGACAGGACCTGTCTATATAGTCACAGCTGGTCTTGAACTCCCAGAAATCCTACTGCCTCAGCCTCCTGAATGCTGTGGTTACAGGTATACACCAACATTCAGGTTTTTCAAGAATATTTATTATGTTTCATTTATCCTGCTTTCCTACCTGAATGTGACCCTCAGGACTTCTTGGCACACACTTGTAAGACATATATTAGGTACTAAAGAAACACTGTGGGCAAAAAGGTGTAGAATCTACCAATGCTATTTCCATTTGGTCTTTCTGAGAGACAGACAGACAGACAGACAGGCAGACACACACACACACACACACACACACACACACATGCACGCACGCCCACATGCACATACCTAGACAGGGCAAGGGCACGGTTAACTCTCTCCTCCAGTCCTAACGTGCCCAGGGCCTTCCAGGTCATCCAGAACTTGAAGGCATCAGGTCTCCTGCTGCACTGGATGGATTTGTCTCCCGTGTCGTAGCTGACATCATAGAACTTATCCTGCTGGAACAGGTAGGTCGCTTTGGCAGAGTAGCACTTCTTAAGAAGATCCTTTGAAGGAGAAAGTAAGGAGAGTCGGAGCCCATTCATTTTAGACTAAGCTCCAAGTCAAATATACACAAAGCAACCTGTCTGACCTTCTGCTTCCGGTGCCCGAGGCTTGAATTGCTGCTGGCTACAGAGGGTGGATACAGACTGTGCGTGAAGGTGGAGACCCAGAGCTCACCCAGGAGCAGGCAGTGCCTGACCCACCCTCCAGGTGTCACCAAGGGCAAAGAGGGGCTAAGAGGACCAAAGACTCCATCTCCATGGCACAAAGACCTATAAGACTCCATCTCCATGGCACAAAGACCTGTTTCTCAAAAGAAACAAATCTCTAAGTCACTCCAAACTCCTCCAAGAGAAAACCGAATCTTAGTCCATTCTGTCACACTAAACAATTTCACAGGCAAAGCCTAAGCTTTTTAAATCCCCTACTTTCCAACAGGGACCACAGCTTGAGGGAGGAACTGATCCAGTGGAACAGCTAAAAACAACTCAGCCAGTGTTTTCTCATCCCAAAACGTCAGCCACCAGTGATCCTTTGTTTGTTCCGTCCTGATTTTATTTGAGACCAAACTCTATTCCCATGTCCAGACTGGTGACTAAGAACTCAGGAACAAGTGACTCTGCTTGTTACCAGTCGACTGTCTTCTGCTATTTGAAAAGAAGCCATGCTGTCTTTAGTATCAGAAAGAGTTCACACAAGCCAGTCACCCACAGCCCTGCGGATTCCTAGGAGTCCTTGTAAGGGCCACCTGCTCCCCTCCTTTGACCATTTACCATGTCCCATGTACAAGCTCAGATTTTGGCTTGAGTTTGTCTCTGCTTTATGTTAACTGCAAACCAGTAGAATATGCACAGTGTACACATGAATTGTGAACGTCAGTGATCCTACGCGTGGCCTCGACTCTCCACCTAGAGATTGCCTTCCTTTGGGTCCCCTTTCAAGCTTCTTCCCTCTACCCCAGCCTCCCCACTGGCCCATCCTGGTCAGCTCATACTTGGCTGTGTCTGCTGGCATTGCTGCTGTACAGTCTCCGTGTCATCAGCAGTCCAAGCATGTTTTCTCTATGTGTGACCACTGCCAATCTGTCGGCACACCCACAGAACTTACTCTCTGCCGGGCACATAGCACCCTTGCTAAGTGACCAGGACAATGGCGTCCCTCCCTGAAGCTCATGCTTTCTCCATCTCACTAATGAGTGGACTGAGCAGGAGAACTCTCAGGAAGCAGACTCTCACTGAAGGAAGCAGGTCACGGGGGTGAAATGCGGGACTTTGTAGCAGAGCCCGCTGTCTGCCTCATTTCTGCTTCCCGTTCCATCAAGTTTCGAGAGAATGAGGAACAGTCACTGAGCTGCCGGCCACCATGCCGCCCTTCCATGATGGATTGTGTCTCCTAAAACTGGAAGCCACAGTGGACCCAGTCTCCCTTAAGTTGCTTCTTGTCTGGTATTTGGTTACAGCTGTGAGAAAAGTCACTAATAAATCCAGGGTCCTAGAACATATTCTGAGCTTACCAGAGAGAATGCATTAAACATTTTTTTTTGCTTTGATTAGCTTCCATGTAAAGAACAGAACTAAAACATTCAGGTAACACCTTCTAAATGAAGATGAGTTTCTCCAATGGGGGACTAACTTCCCTGCCCACATGGCACAGAGATGGACTCCCTTACTGCTCTAACTGTAGGTCACTGCATCTCTTAATGCTCACAGGAGGAGCTTCTTTCTTCAGTAGATGGTGACTGGCACAGACTCAGAGCCGGCCATGCAGCAAGTACAGTATCTGTATCACACCCTCCTCCCAAGGCCCACGGATCATTTGGGGAGTGCAGTCAGAATGCTTATCAGAAACCAGGGATGAAGCCGGGTGGTGGTGGCACACACCTTTAATCCCAACACTCGGGAGGCAGAGGCAGGCGGATCTCTGTGAGTTCGAGGCCAGCTTGGTCTACAGAGCGAGTGCCAGGACAGCCTCCAAAACAATACAGAGAAACTTTGTCTCAAAAAACAAAAACAGAAAGAAAGAAAGAAGAAAGGAAAGAAAGAAAGAGATAAAGAAAGAAAGAAAGAAAGAAAGAAAGAAAGAAAGAAAGAAAGAAAGAAAGAAAGAAGGAAAGAAAGAAGGAAAGGAAAAAGAAAGAAAGAAGCTGTGGACGACTACACAGGAACTGCTTTCCAGACACAGTGGATGTGCAAATGAGCTCACTGTGGTTATAGCAGCATGGACTAGACCTGTGAACTCAAGCCAGACAAGTCCCAGCAAAGATATGGGGAAGGTGGACATGTGGTCTCACCTCTGGCTGAGAAGCTTTTGGAAACTGATAGTGAAGAACCAGTTTTCTTTAAGGGTGTCTCTCCTGGTGTGTTGACCGTGCTTCTGTGACAGCCACTTGCCCAGGTTTATGGACAGTCCAAATTGGACTGATGAGTTTAAAAACAAAATAAGAAGGAGTTGGGAGAGTAAATAAGATCAAAACACACTGTACAAAATTCTCAAAGAACTAATAAAAACTAAAAAAAGGAAAAAAAATGAGTTTCCAATTTTAATAGCATTGCTGTCTTCTGTGAATAGTAATAGGGGTCTAAACATGTTTCATTACAAAAAAAACATAGCTTTACACAATGTGAAACATTATATAAGAGATGTGAGGAGGAAATTCCAAATCTCTATAAAACAACAGTTGAAGGCGCATTGGTCATCCTGGCCCAAATGGCCATTCTTGGTGGTTACTGCAAAAAATAGATTTCTCTAACCTGAGCATCAAGGTAGAGAAAGTTCCTAACTTAAGGTTACTTGGGTTTCCCCCAACAATCTCTAGACTGATCACAGGTATGGTCACAGAATCTCCCCCACTGCAGTGGTTAGAAATATGTTTACTCTTTCCACAGCAACTTCAGTCTGATGATATGACATCAAAAGGCCACTGCATATGTTCTCATGACACAGCATGCAGGGGTCACATACTTCCCCTCCCCTTGTGACTGTGAGATTTGAGAAGAATCTCGAAACCAGTGAGCTTTGGGTGCTGGGGAAATGGTTCAGTTAAAATAAAATAACTTGCCATGCTATCATGAGTTCAATGTCTTGGAACCCACATTAAATGCAATGAAACTTGACATGGGTTTCTGAGAATGTTTAGTGACCTTGCAGGGGACCTGTGTTGAGTTTCTTGTACCCACGTAGTGGTACATAACCATCTCTAACTCCAGTTCCAGGGGACCCAATGCTCTCTTTTGCCCTCCATGAGTTCCTTCATGTACATGTTACACATAAACTCACACAGGCATGCATGTATACATATAAGCAAAGTAAGTAAAGAAATAAACCATTAAGAACAAACAGGCATGTGTATGTAATATTAGCACCAGGGAGGTAAAGACTGAATGATTGGGCTATTGGCCAGCCAGTCTAGCCCAATCCAGTTCCTGGTAAAAATGAGAGATCCTTCAGAAGCAAATAACATGGGCAGTGCCTGAGGCACAATACTCAAGGTTAACCCAGGGTTTCTACAGTATGTGTACTGCTTTTTTTTCTATCTCAGTCTCTATTTCTGTCTCTGTCTCTATCTCTGCCTCTATCTCTCTGTCTCTCTGGCTATGCTCTGTCTCTCATGCGTGTGCACCCATGCACAAACTTCTGCACACAGGGACACACGTATATGCACAATACACACATACATACACACACAAAACAAAGCAAAACACTGAGTATCAGCCACGTCTCATGCAAGCCTCGGGGGCTGATGGGAGTGACTGAGACGGGACGACCTTTTCAGAAGACAAACCACAGGTCACAGGTGGTTTGCAAGTAAAGAAGACGAGGGAGCAGGACAAGAGTGATGGTTCTTCAGCAGTGGCACAGTTAATCTCACTGATCAGAGATATCCTCCTGCCTGCGAAAGCTCCATAAAACAATAACAAAACAAAACAAAACAACAACAACAGAAAGCCACCGAGGGCCTGAGATCTAGTTATCAAAAATAAACGGAGAGATTTATTTCATTAATAAGTGGGTGGGCTGTCTGTTAGTTTCAGGACATGCATCAACCAGGAGAGGAGAAATAATGTTTTGTAATACATACAGTAAAAGTCAGCATTTAAAAATATTCCCTGCTTCATATTGTGCTAATGGTCAGAAGGGCGATGTTCTAACATTTGTGTTCACACCCTTGGTCCTAGCAGGGTAATAAGAATCCAGCTGCAAGAATCTAGAGAGAATGTTAGTTATGGTTTAATGGGGGTATTAATTCAAATTGTCCTTAGTGATGACCAGACAAGGTGTTAGGACTGACACTGTGGCAAGTGAAGAAACCAATTCCTATTCCAACCAAATAGGGATTTGCGCAGATTTTATTACGACACCTATATCTGCAAGCCCAACTAGATCTGGATCAAATGGTACTGATCCTCGGAACCGTGTCCCTTACTCTCCTGTAGTCCTCTGTGTTGGTCCCGTTCCTAACAGATCAGCAGCCAGCCTCAGGACTGGGATGGCTGAGGGGGACCTGTGATCCTGAGGAGAAGCTGTTTGTAGGGAACAGATTGCAGGAGAGACCTGTCTGCTCCTGGCACTGCTGACAAAGCCCCTCACCGCAGTCAGCCTTTCCAGTCTCTATAGCCACCCCCACCAGCCTCAATCTTGGGCTGTATTGTTTATTGCGATAAGAATCTGGACTGAGTCAGCCTAGACAGAAGCCCTGCTCCTGATTTCTGACCACCTGCATTGTTCTTCACCCCTCTCTCTTGGCTCCAACTCTCCCCAAGAACCCTGTTAAGTCAATTTAACTTGATTGTCTTTGGTTAGTAACGCCCTCTTTCCTGTCCCTTCCCAATGCTGTGTGACCACAGACTTCTTACCGAGTCACTCTGTTCAGAGTCAATCCTATTTCTCTGATGAGATCTTCTTTCCCCATGGAACTGGTTGCTGAAAGCATTCTGTTTTTATGTTATTATATTCTTGATTTCTTGTATGTATGAGTGCTGTGTATGTGTGTACGGGCTAGTTT